ATCATAAAATGGAAGAGGAAACAGCCTTGAAGAACAGGCGGAAGAGCCACTGCCAAGTTGCAAAGGTAGAGAAACTGGGGTTATTTTATTTTATGGGTTATTGCATTATCTCCATCCATTGCTTCAAAGCTAAAGAATGTGAATTTACGCTTCTCACTCTATTTCCCAGCAGACAGGTGTCTACATCACCACACCCTCACCTCAATCAACATTATCTGGCACCTTATCTGGAAATCCCAGCTGAGTCCAAGGTATGGCTATTGGAAATGTCATCATCTTTTTTGTCAATGAACATATAGTCCATTTCCTTAAGTTGAGATAAAGGTGAGATAGGATAAATATACAGGAAAAAGTGATTTATGGTAACCATTTTAGATGCTGCTTCCTTCAAGAAAAATATTTTCTTACATGTGTTGCTACTTAGGAATATTAGTTGGTGTATGAATAACACTTGTGGACAAGTGTAATACAGCCAGAAAAGGAATCACGCCAGGAAATATTCAAGATCTAGATCTGGCTGGGCTCACTTTTAAAAGAAAATTAAATATATACTGTATAAAAGCTAAAGTGAAAAATAACCCAAGGGGAAAAAAAGCCATAAATGCCTGTTGATGAACGAGTTTGAAGATCAATAAGCCTATTTTACTTCAATCTCTCTTGCAGGCAACTCATTTTAATATTTTGTATATGTGCTAGAATGGCTAAGGTCAGTTTGTAAAAAACATTGTGCTCTGCCTGTGCATACTTTTATGGCTGAAGCATGGCTTTCACTAATCTCTCTTATTTTTGTTATGTCACATCATATTCTAGATATGTAAGCTATAGCTAGCTCATCATTGGCTAATGTAAACAGTCTGAGGCTTGGGGTTGAATAAGGCGAAACTTTTCTGAATGATACACAATTTATCACATTGTTCATCAGTTTACTTATAGAATCATTCTTACTTGGAAAACCATCCTTGAAAGTAGTGCTTACATGGGCCAGATGTTAGCTATAAAGGTGAGCTGTTAAATCTGTGTTAGGTTACTGCAGTATAACTGACTTTGACTACCCATTTCATTTCTCACAGGAAATGACAGATAACATGTGTAATGGAGGACCACATCTAATTTATAATGGAAGAGCATACTGAAATATTTACATTCTTTAAAGAACAACTATGTTTAGGATTTTCTTCAAGAGAAAATTCAGAAGCCAACAGCTTGAAGACAACGTCCTAAAACATTATGGCTCTAACTTGCAATAATTTTACAACTTCCAAATAACAACAGCACAGTCACATTTTCTTTCAGAGATTCGCTTTTATTCCCATTAACTGAAGTTATATAATTGCACATTTTGAAGATAAGTATTATCACTTTTTTTGCCTAAGTAATTTTTAATGGCTGTGATAATATATGAAACTGATTTTTCAGATTTTACTCAGATTTTTTTTAGGAATTACTTTTTGATTTTTAAAAAAATCCCCTGGTATAAAAAATATAAGAAGGTCTAAATATTGGATTTCATGCTAAAAGGAAAAGAATTTGGACATGAAAATGTAAGCAGTGTAATGAACGAATTATGAGCGTGCTGCTCTCCGCACTGCTGTCTGTGTTTTGAAAAATGGGAAATTTTAATGATGTTATGAAGTCAAACAATGTTTTGCTTTTAAAAAAAAATACATTTCTCCCATTTAAGAGGTCTGTTTCCTTATTTGTTCATAAATAATGTGAAATAAAATGAAACATAAGAATCGGGTTATATTTTTAATCATCCTAACAAATTTTACAATGATCTACAAATTCAAGTGAGACACAAGGGCAAGTTATAATTCTCAACAAAGTTTAAGGCAAGTATTCAGAAAACTTTCAGACCCTCTTTATTTAACTACAGTTCATATAGTATATTGTTGTTGTTTTATTGTATTTGCATCTTAGCAGATGAAAGATAATGCATTAAAAATAAACATAACATTCTATTATATAATAATAATAATATAAAATACTATTCCTTCTTCCATAGTCAACTGAAATACCCACCAATCATATAGTCATACTGATACAAAGAGATGTATGGAACTTCTTAACGTACAGATGTACACACACACATGCGCGCGCGCACACACACACACACACACACACATTCAAATAATCTTTCTTCTTTTAAAATCTAACATGCATACATACATTGCATTAAAAAATATTATAAGAAGCAAATATGTCTTTACTTAAATAACTAGATATATCTGCCTTACAAACACCGATGATGCAAATATGCAGAAGAAGGTTTGAACCTCAGTGCAATGGTAAGACTTTCAGATGCAACTAGAGAAACTAGGGTTATAAACAGCAATGATGAACCTATGAAATCTTTGTCAAAGATAATATACTGCAACATTTTGGGTGGCACATCAGCATCCACCAATACCCAACAACTATTCTTGAAAATATACCTTATTCTCATGTGACCTTGATGGCTGTAGAAGTACCTGAGAATGGGCTATGCCCTTAAGTGGCTTCTGAATTCTCTGGAAATCATTTTTGTGAACCTCTGCATCTTTAAAATCGAATGAGAATAGGTGTGTGTTTGCAGTTTTCAGAGGCTGCACAATGTTCTAAGTTAGAAAAATCCTCCATATTTCTCATAGGTGATTGTTCCAGAATCCAAACCTACCATCTGTACCCAAAATTGCAAAGCTCCAGGATTTCTTCCATTTTTCTGCTGGTTGGGTCAGAAGTCACCCAGTTTTATGGAGTTCTCTCATCTTTCAGGTTAGTTACTGCAGAGGCTTCCTATCCCAGCATCACTGCTGCTACATTGGGGAATAATTGTCCAGTAAACAACAACTGGAATACTTGAAATTGCTCATGGAGACAAGATGATCTGGTCTACACCCACTTTGTGAATTGAAATGGCATGATGTTACTTTTTGGGATACACAAATCTTACTATGTATATGTTTGTAGAAACAGGATAAGGGCCAAAGAAAATAAACTTAGTATAATTAAATTACTTTTTCATACATTGCTGCCAAGTTCATAGACTATAGATAAGTTGGCAATGGACTTTATAATTAATCTGGGTTTAGCATAGAGACTTTTGGAGATGCTAAACTAGAAGCTGCCAAAAATAAAGTTCATGTGACACTGTCATTAGATTTAGATGTGTCAGTGTTTCATAAATATATTGTTGGAATTTTATTGATTATTTTCCACATTTCTAGAAACGTATAATATTTTCTCCTTTATTAGAAATACTAAGTATATTTGGTTAGTATGGTAAGTATAATCTGAACTGTGACGGTAAAGGGAAGCAATAAAACCAACTAATCAAGTTCCTTGTTTTCATTTTCATTTCTATGGTCCCCATTACTGTTTTTCCAACTTGCATTAACTGAAATACGCCCTTATCGTTTGTTGGCATCTTCTATTGACATTCTCCTACTGTTTTTATCAGACAGCAATGCATGAAGTGAAAACAGGAATGGATCTCACCAATATTCTCCATATTGGTCATGCAATAATGAGAAAAAAAAGAAACAGAAAGCAATGTCTTTGCTACAGAAAGCAATGTCTTTGCTACAGAAAAAGTTGCCACTTTTTCTATATGTAGCTTTTCATGATGCATGTCTTTCATATGCACATCTTTATACATTTTTGGAATTGACTACATTGGGCATTTACCTGAATTTTACAATCTGAGCAATAAATTTAAAAATAATTTATTTAAAAACATTGATTGGATAAATTCCTTCTCTCATTCTTAGGTTTAAAAAAAAACATAAACATTAAGTTAAACTACAAATGTATTGTTTCTATACTTTCAGTGTCACTCCTTAAAGTTGTTATAATATTTATGGGTAATATTAATATTAATTAAATTAAATGATGCATGATTCTTAGCTTGCCATTTTCCCCATGTTCTGTCCTGGTAAACTGTAAGGATGGCACAACTTTTGTTCACACCTTGAATGTTTTATTTAGATTCTTCTCTACTTTGGTCAAGTTCTAATCAAAATTATAACATTATTTCAGCCCATCTAGTCCTTTGTGTAATATTTTTGCACTCAGTTCAGTTCCTCAGTTCCTTTTCTCTCTGGAATCTAACTTTTCTGCCATTGTCTGTTTGTTTTTCTTTTCCAATTTCCATTTTTTGAAATAATTCCTTGGCAGCTTCACATCTTCCAAATCTCCCTCCTGGAATTTGGGTAATCAGAAGGAAGTGGAATATATTAATTAATTTTAAATGCTACGCTTAATTGTCTTAGGTACTATCTCTGTGCAAATGCTGTAGAGAGTTTTGATGTAGAAATAAAAAATGTGTTTAAGCATAGTTAAATGAGCATCTATAATTACAATTTGTAACAATATACATGCCTGGCACACTTCTAACTGGAGGTTTATCAAGAAACAAGGATGTTGCATCAACCATTGTCAGCTTGTGAGTGAGTCAACATTGATACTAGCTTCTTTGGGTAATCCTGTGAGATATTCTTGGTTTCAGAGCCCTAGACTTTGACCCTGAGGTCCACCATAAATGCACAACTGTTAGAATGACCCATTCAATAGTTGTCACCCTGGGATGCCTATAAATCAATGGTGAATTTGACCTCATTTGATATATTTGTTCAAGCAAAAGTCATCAAGGATGTTAAAATGGAACAAATAACAACATAGCCATTTCCCTTCTGATCTGCTTAGACACTACTTTCTGAATAATTGGTTTCACTATTAAGCTTTAATAACTGTTTTGAAGAGGAAGATTTGATTATTTTGCATATGAAACAGGAAATCCCACATTTTTATCATTATATCGCTATGATAACAAGATCTTTAGTAACAAATCAATGTTTTAATTTAAAATGTTTTATGTAATACTTACCAATTATTTTATTTGTTAAAATGTTTAATGCTAAATTTAGATTTCATTTGTACTTTGCTTATTTGAGTCTTTATAAAATAAAACTAAATGAATAAAATTAATAGATCTTTGTAATAGCCATGAAATTTATTTTGCACGTAAGTCAGAAATTCCCACAAACATCACCCATCCCTGAAGCAAGGAAGATAACATAGTAAATAATTCATTTATAGCTACTCTTTCAAAAAACTTGCTGCTTAAGATGGACATTGCTTTAACCATAGGGCCACACAGGTGAAATACTCTAATTGCCTCATTGTGAGACAACTTATTGAAAAAGATTTCACCATGAACCAACAGGATTCTTATGTTTTAATTATTGCTTAATTTTAAAGATATATAATACTTGACTATTTTGTGAAGCACTCACAATTGGAACAAGCTGCAGAAAAAGACTTTATATAATTTTAAAAAGGCTAGAAGGTTCACTTTTCATTATGTGGATTAGTCCTAAAATGCTGATTACTATTCTAGTCACAGGTAGTCTACAAAAGGCTTAATCAAATACATTTCAATGTGTCAGAATGATCTTAAAAATTCTCATCCTGGTGTATATTAACATTTAGACAAGCTATAGAATATTTATGCCTGATAACTGATGGAAAATACGTTACATATTTTTACGAGATAAGATGGTTTAAATTTTAACAATCAGAAAAGAAAGTTCCAGATTACAAGCAGCAAATTGTTTTTTGTGATTTATGCTTAAAATTTTACATTGACATGTCCTGAATACATATTTATCGCATTAAGATGAATTAGCTCAAAACAAGATTTTCACAAAAAAGTCATTAGTTAGTACATACAATATGCACATCAAGAAGCCTGGATTTTGCCTTAAAAGTTATTTCTGAGCTGTCAAACCATCAAGAATTAAAACACAATTGGATGCTGATTAACGCATTTTATAATATCTTGATTGGGCAAGTTTTCAATTTTTAGATGACACACTTTAACTATAGTTTCCGTAATAGTTGGATTACCATATGATAGATGGAACTTTGAACCGAATTTATTTTGGGGACTGAAAAGAAGAAAATTTTAGAGCTTGCTATCATCTACTTATCCCAGTTAAGTTCCATTGTTAAATTCTGTTGTTTTCCTTTTGAAAATACAGTGTAAAGAAAAGCTTTGTATCAATTTCAGATTCAGTCTGACCATTTCCTGTTCTGACAAAGGACTTTCTTCCTGTTTATGGAATGAAAAAAGCGCATTAGAAGTCTGCATTGGTGTTTCTGATCCATAAATGCTCTCAGATCAGAGCTTCTCTACAGATAGAAAGTTAGCACCCACTTGTCTCTTCTAGAATAATGAAATATTTTGAGGAATATTTAAAAAGGCAGAATATTATATTTTACAAAATGAGAAATGAAGAAACATGCAGATATTCTGTGCCCATTAAGAAGGATTGGGCCAGCCTATTCAGAAACCAAATTGAGGAGACCACCTTTTCGAAATTCAGATTTGATAATCCATTCAAGGCATGATATTTTGAAACAAAGGCAAAATGGTAGGATTAGCCCTAGATCCAACACGGGACACAAGACACAGTAGGAATTGCTTAACACAAGCCCTTCATTACATCATCTCAGAGCAGTCCAAACTTAAACCAGACTGGAAGCTGAGACAAACACCTAGGATTTGCATTTCTTCTTTAGTCTATAGAGCCAGCTATAACTCCTATATAACCCCACATAACCCCATAGGAATCTGGCAATAGCCAATGGAATACATGTTCTTGCACAGGAAGAGGAAGCTCAACTGCAAAGCACAAAGTATAACCTCCCCACAACTTTCAACTTCATTTTGTCAGCTGCCCCAAACCACAAACCCATGAAGTTCTGTTTCATCAATAAATCATCTTTCCAATCAGCGTCCATGTTTCCAGTGTCTTTCTCCCAGCTTGGAACTGAACCAGATGGATATTTCTTCCTACAGTGGCATGAAGTTAAAAAAAGGGATAGATTTATTTTATCAGTGCACTTCTTTTCATTCCTAAAATTTACTTGTATAATCAGCATCCCTATTTATTTATTTATTTATTTAACTTATTAGTATTGATTTTTGTCACAGAAATAACTACACTAGTAAATGTATGGTTCACATTTAATGTGGCTTGTTTGGCAAGCATTTGAAATAAACAATCTGCAATTTATTTAACAAACCAACAAACATTATATATATGTATCTATTTCAGTGGAATATTATATTTGTGGACATAAAACTAGTACCCACCTTGAGTCTTTTAAAAGGTCTTGAAGATGCGTGATTTTTCCAGGGACCTAAGGATCTCAAAATGATCCAGAGCTCATTAAGAGGTTTATTTGTGATGGTCAGGAGGTAGATGTTCATTGATTTTTGTAGTTTTGAAGTTTTATTTCTGTAAGCTGTCAGTAGTCACTGTAAGTCGTTGGCCATATAAATTTTCTTAAATAAATACATAAATATTTCTATTATATTATTAAGTAACAGTAAAGTCATTCAAAGTGACAATAGTGGTTGATAATAATTAAAATAATGGAAGAATGAATCACTGTTGAAGATATTTCCTATAGATAGGAAGCAGGAGTAATAATTGATAGAAAAACTCAAATTTAGTTTTTAATCCATTGTGACTGTGGGTTTAAAAAAAAGCTAATAAAAGGGGAAATTGTTTTTCTAAAGAATAAATAAGCAACTAAAAAGGCAACTGTCTATTTATATCTTGCTCTGAGAAGCCATTTCATCAAGGTAGCCATTATTGATGAGTGACAGTATATATAAGCTTGTAGAAAAACAAGGAATTGTGCCAGGTGCTAGTAAACAGTTTTTCTGGTAGGGAAGGTAACTCAACCAATGGCCGGTCCTATGGTTTCATTCTGCCTCCTTGAAAGGATTGACCTTCGTGTAGCTTGACTTCCATGAGACAGGATGAAACCACAATTGCTATCTTCAAGTGGTGTATATGACACAGACCTATTAGCTGCATGGAATTTATATTTAGGAGATAGTCTAGTCAGTTTGCTCATAAAATGAAGAAGAATGAGGAAGTATAGCCATTATTTTCCTGTTGTTGTTGTTAGTTGCAAAGTTATGTCTGACCCATCGTGACCCCATGGACAATGTTCCTCCAGCCCTTCCTGTCCTCTACCATCCTCAGAGTCAATTTAAGCCAGTGGTCCCAAAGTGGGCAGTATCACCCTCTGGGGGGGCAGTGGATGACTTAGGGGGACACTAAGAGGCAAGGGGCAGCAGGGGGTTGCTAAGAGGCAAGGGGGGTGGCAGAGAAGTGCTGGAGGTGGGCCCCTCACAGGGTACAATTCAGTTCACCGCCACTCCACTTGCCTGGCTTGCTGGTGGCTGAGAGGAAGGTGAACCAAGGCTGACCCATTGCTGGTTGGGTCCTGTCTGAATTCTACACAGCTGCTGGGCCTTGCCTGCTAGGAGTGGGGGTGGCAACCATAGAGCATGATGCTCTGCCTCCCGCATCACCCCTTGTCTGCCACCCTTTGCCTCTACTGCCTGCCAGCCTGCGTGCTTTGGCTGAATGCAGGCTGCTGCTCTGAGAATGATGCAAGTCAAGCCTTACGAGAGTGGATCTTCCACCCATGGAGCTTGCATAGCAGCAGCCAGCATTCAGCTAAAATGCTTGAAGAGGCAGCTGGCAGAGGGACAATGCAGGCGGCGTAAGCCTCATGCTTCCTGGTTGCCTCCCACACTCCTTCTCATCAGCTGCATCCTGTGAGCCCCAGCAGCTGATGAGATGTGGGCTGGCGGGAAGCTGAGTAGTGATGGGTCTGCCTTGACTGGCTCACTTTTCTTCTGCCACCAGCTGTGGGAGGAAATTAAGTTTGTAGGCATTAGAGAAAACCCAAACCAAAGGTTTGAGTTTTTCCAACTGCCTACAAACTTACCTTCCTCCCACGGCTGGTAGTAGAGGGAAAGGTGAGCCAGCCAGGATGGGCTGGTTCACTTTTCCTGCAGCTCACTTCTCCCACAGCTCCTGTGGGTGGTGAGGCTGCAGCCTCGCTTGAAGTTCTCAGCCCTTTCCCCAAAAGAAGGAGGAGTTGAAGTCCCACCCACAGCCCCTTTGTTGGACCCGGAAACCTTGCTGCCGGCTCTTCTGGGCAACGCAGGACTGGGCGTGAATGGACAATCGCACCCAATCTTTGGGACTCTGGGAGACTGCTGGGTGGCTACCTTGTTGGAAGAGAGAGAGAGAGAGAGGGAGAGAGAGAGGGGGAAAGAGAGACAGAAAGAGAAAGAGAGAGGGAAAGAGAGGGGGGGAAGGAAGAGACAACAAAGAAAAGAAAAGAAAGAGAAAGGGGAAAGAAAGAAAAAGGGAGAAACAAGGAAGAAAAGGGGGTGGAGAAAGGGGGTGGTGGGAGGAAGGGACAGAAAAAGAAAGCTTTTCTTCCTTGTTTCTCCCTTTTTCTTTCTTTCCCCTTTCTCTTTCTTTTCTTTTCTTTGAGAACTAAAGAAAGAAAGAAAGGAGGGAGGGAGGGAGGGAGGGAGGGAGGGAGGAGCAAGTGAACAAGATATCTAGTCCAACCACCTGCTCCATCCAGTTTAGAAGAGAGAGAGAGAGAGAGAGAGAGAGAGAGAGAATGTGCAGGACAAGTAGCTCTGGGAGGTCAGTCATAAATTAGAAGCAAGGACCACTTGTATTTGGTTTGCCAGTCACATGGCCACCTGGCCATGCCCACCCAGACACATGACCATCAAACTACACCCACCCGGTCATGTGACCACCAAGCCATGCCAGCCAGAAAGCCACAACCACCCGTCATATGACCACCAAGCCACACCCACAAATTAGGCCACACCCACAGTACCAGTTAAGAAATTTGAATCTCATCCCTGGGTGGGGGCACTGAGAATGAGGGGGCGGTAGACTGAAAAAGTTTGGGAACCATTGATTTAAGCTCATGCCGACTAATTCAGTGACTGCATCCAGCCACCTCATTCTCTACCATCCCCTTCTTCTTTTTCCTAGTATTAGGCCCTTCTCCAGTGGGTCCTTCCTTCTCATTAGTATTTGAGCTTCATCTTCAGGATCAGGCCTATCTAAAAAGCAGTCAGGGACTCGCAGGAGTCTTTCCAGCACCATAGTTCAAAAGCCTCAATTCTTTGACACTCAGCCTTCCTTATAGTCTGACTTTCACAACCATATATTGCAACTGGGAAAACGATAGCCTTGATTATACATACTTTTGTTGGCAGGGTGATGTCTCTGCTTTTTAATATGCTGTCTAGATTTGCTATAGCTTTCCTCCCCCAGAGGAAGGGTCTTTTAATTTCTTGGCTGTAGTACCCATCTGCGGTGATCTTGGAGCCTAGGAAAATAAAATCTGTCACTACCTCCATTTTTTTTCCCCATCTATTTGCCAGGAATTGAGAGGGCTGGATGCTATGATCTTAGTTTTTTTAATGCTGAGTTTCAAGCCAACTTTTGCATTCTCTTCTTTCACCCACATCAAGAGACTCTTTAGTTCCTCTTCACTTTCTGCCATTAGAGTGCATATCTGCATATCTGAAGTTGTTGATATTTCTCCCTGCAATCTTAATTCCAATTTGTGATTCATCTAGCCCCACCTTTCTCATGATCTGCTCTGCATTTAAGTTGCACATTGCATATAAATAGGCAATGTGACAGTATACAGCCTTCCAAACGCCTTATTTTCTTACCCAGATGCAAAATGCTTGGTTTATGGAAAGATGGTGAAATATTATCAAGGCTAGCAAAAAAAATACACTTCTTGACTAACTTCTGCTCATTTTGACTTTTTAAAATGATAGTTTATTTTACTAGGACCATCAAATTACTAAATTTATTTGCTGGCAATGGCAAATGTGGGCAGTGGTATGGAGGAGGAAATGTGGATTGTTTCCAGCAAACTTCACTGCAATTTATTTTTAGCTTTCAATAATTCTTCTAACCAATTATCAATCTTCTATTATTAATTAATAATCAGCTAAAAAGCCATATGCTACTACTCTATTGTTAATCTCAGCATGCTATGAATAACTATAGCCTATAGGGAAACTTGTTTTTGGAGGTTTTACGTGCAGAATGTTGAATTGTATATTTTGGCAATGTATTGCAGGAAATAGGATATTATTTCAATATATTTGAACCTCTTTACCCACAGGAACATACCCACATGCTTCTGGTAACTTAAAAAGATTTTTTTTTAACATTTTTAAAC